GACTGGCACAAAAGCTACTTCTTGCATAACTCTAGAGCCGATACAGCAATGAATAACCCGAAGAGCGCATAGAAAACATGGTTTCCAGCATGTCTGGCTCTGGCATAGTTCTGATCTACTCATGGACTTGTCGCGAAGCTGTCTTACCCGCCATTGCGACTACAGGGCATAGTATCAGTAGAAAGTAAGATGTAAATGAGAAGTGCAGATGATTCTAAAAGGTTTAGTATCATTTAGTTATGCTATAGCAACCTGATATACTTACTATTGGTATACAGCTACAACAAAACTGTTGACGCTTGATTTTGGACGCCACGACTCCACCGCACGTGGGAAACGCTGAGCTGACTCAGAGACACACTGTATGGATCCATGAGATTTGAATATGGAGCTGAGATTATATATTTGCAGAAAAAATAATAAAAGTTGGCAGAGGGGTTTTTATAGTGGTTCGGATGCTCAACAAGCGACTCCTACATCTACTGTTATTTTATTGATCTCTCATATTTCTATGATTTTGCCCGTAAGGCATACAAAGATGAAGATACATGTTTTTTACAGAGAGAATGAAAATGAAGCTAAATCTCAGCCCAGCCACACCAGCCTCCCCCCTTCGGGAGAGAAATGCCCTTTATTCACATTTGCACTCAATGCAATGAGTGTTTTTCAAGCTGCCTTGACACATGAAGCCTCTCGTCCTTCATCTCTTTGAATGAGATAAAGTTGGTGAGAATATCTTTGGAGATATGGGCTTGGCAGCTGGTACAGAGAGACATTAATTGTGCTGACATAGGCTTGACTTTTTGAGCATAACAGAAGCCCCCCGTTTTTAAGTGCATAATCCGCTTCAAAACTAAGTCTTGGTCTGGCTGCTGCGGTCTCGAACTGAAGAGCTCGACTGAAGTCTGTTAGGAAGATGATCAGAAATCTAGGAAAACGACCAGAAATCTGTTAGGAACGACCAGAAATCTGTTAGGACCGACACCGAAATCTGTTAGGAAAACGACCAAAATCTGGTAGGAGAACGACCTGAAAGGTCATAACGAGCTCAATCTGAGCAAAACGAGCTCAACTGAGAGCAAAACGCCCTCGACCTGAGAGGTCAAATGAGCTCAAAAAGCAAACGACCTCAACTTGAGAGGTCAAAACGCTCAATAACAAAACGACCTCAACTTGAGAGGTCAAACGAGCTCAATGAGCAAACGACCTCAACTTGAGAGGTCAACGAGCTCAATGAGCAAAACGAGCTCAATGAGCAAAACGACCTCACTTTGAAGGTCAAAACGACCTGAATGAGCAAAACACCTCAACTTGAGAGGTCAAAACGAGCTCAATGAGCAAACACCTCAACTTAGAGGTCAAATGACCTGAATGAGCAAAACGACCTCAACTTGAGGTCAAAACGAGCTCATGAGCAAAACGACCTCAACTTGAGAGGTCAAAACGACCTGAATGAGCAAACCGACCTCAACTTGAGGTCAAAACGAGCTCAATGAGCAAACGACCTCACACTTGAGAGGTCAAATGAGCTCAATGAGCAAAACGACCTCAATTTGAGAGGTCAAATGAGCTCAATGAGCAAAACGACCTCGACCTGAGAGGTCAAAACGAGCTCAAAAAGCAAAACGACCTCGACTTGAGAGGTCAAAACGGCTCAAAAGCAAAACGACCTCAATTTAGAGGTCAAAACGACCTCTCCTCGACTTAGAGGTCAAAACGAGCTCGACCTGAAAAGGTTATGACGGGCTCGACCTGAGAGATCATAACGAGCTCTACCTAGAGCAAAGAGATCAGCGATCTCAGCGTGTGATCGCGATCTGAACACCGCGATTTGAAGCTAAAGATCCGCGATCTAAAGCTGAGGATCAGGATGGCATGGGGTGGATCTGCAATCTGGCCACGCGATTGGAGAACTCTGATGCTTGCGATCTGCGATCTCCACGCGGGAGAATTCTGATGCGCGATCGAAGAATTCTAACGCGTGCGATCACGATCTGGCCACGCGATCGGAGAACTCTGACTTGGGTTTGAGATCTAAGCACGCCATCAGGGAACTTGATGCAGGCTTGAGAATCGGACCTGCATAGGCCCCAAACTGTTGACGCTTGATTTTGGATGCCAACGACTCGCACGTGGAACGCTGAGCTGACTCAGAGACACACTGATGGATCCATGAGATTTGAATATGGAGCTGAGATTATATATTTTGCAGAAAAAATAATAAAAGATTGGCAAGAGGGGTTTTTATGTGGTTCGGATGGCTCACAACGACTCCTACATCCACTGTTATTTATTGATCTCTCAATATTTCTCATATTTTGCCGTAAGACATACAAAGATGAAGAAATACATGTTTTAACAGAGAGAATAAAATGAGCTAAATCTCAGCCCAGCCACCAGCCTCCCCCCTTCGGGAAGAGAATGCCCATTTATTCACATTTGCACTCAATGCAATGGTGTTTTTCAAGCTGCTTTACACATGGAAGGCTCTCGTCCATTCATCTCTTTGAAATAGATAAGTGGTGAGAATATCTTTGGAGATATGGGCTTGGCAGCTGGTACAGAGAGACATTAATTGTGCTGACATAGGCTTGACTTTTTGAGGCATAACAAAAATACACTCCATTTTAAACCTCAAATTAACCAACAAATTTCCAAAAGCATGGAAGGGAAGCACAAAATTCAGCAAGCTTCAAATTCAGCTCAAAACTCATCAAAAAGCAAAAATGGCCAACTATATTTAACATGCAAACATAAATATGAATTTTTAAGGAAAATCTTCATTTGATCCACTCACAACCAATTCTAGCAAAATCTGGGAACAGATTGCTTCAAATGGAATGCTGATTTCCTGGTGGCTTGTTAGCAGTTTGCTGGACGCCTTGGGGCCTTGGCCAGTAGAGCAAAGTTAGTTTTGCTTGGGCTGGGTTTGGGCCTTCTTTGTTGATTGGTGAGTTTTGGTCGTTCGTGGGCCGAGGAGTGCTGTCCCATGAAGATGCTCTTATGGGTTCTTGGTTGTGGCTTGTTCTCATGGGCTGCTGTTGTTTAGCCTTGTCCTTAATGGATCGGGATGAGGGTGCTGCTTGGCACTGCCGGTTGGGTTGGTGTGTGGAAGCTCTTTGTGCAGTTTTTTTTTTTGGGCTGTTGTGGCTAGGCCGGTTTTTTGAGGCCTGTTTTCGGCCTTTTTTTGTAAAGGCTGCTTTAGGTTGTTCTTTTGGGCTTGCCTGATTTTGGGCCTTTGGGTTATGTTTCAGTTTTTAGCCTTTGTTTGTTTTCAGGCCTCTTTTCCTTGGGCCTGTCCAAGGTGTTTCGTTTCTCTCAAGGGGAACCCCTTTTTTACAGTGTATTGTTTTTTATTCCTTTATACAATTATTGGGTTTACCCAAAAAAAATAATAATTAAATTATCATCTGGCATATAAAAATTCAGAACATAAACAACATGACAAGTCAACGTGTATAGTCAATGAGAGGAAAACAGAGGTACCAAATGTTGATCTCCAAATGTTGATCACAGTTGATTTTCTCATGTCTTCAGCACTTACAGAAACACTAATCTCTGGTTTGTTTGCGGGAGTTGGTTGAGGTTGGGTTTATTTTTACTGCCCCCCACCTGCTCGACGAAAGTCCTCACCCAACTGCATAGGGTATAGTTGTAATTTATATGAACTGTACATGGTATATTTGTAATATACGTGAAGAGTATAGGATACCGAGAACCGGTAGGTTCTGGTTTTGGTACTGTTCCGGTTAAAATGTTTAGAAACCGCACAATACCGTTTTCGGTTTTGGTTTCTAAAACTCAGGAAGTAGTATTATGCAGTTTTGATTCCAATTCCTTATTTTGTGGCCAGGTACCGGGACCTGCTCAGCCTTAGATATAATGACATTATTCTTAGAAAAAGGAAACTTGAGTTTATTAAATATAGTTTATAAATTTTAAGGACGATTTTGCAAAATTTTTAAAATATTGCAACTCGGCTTATGATAATTGTTAAGGGTTGAGATACGCCTCGTCGTTTGTGAGTTTCCGAATAAGCTGTCTAGTCGTCTCGTCAGTCGGGGTAGGTTCCCTTAAAACTATCTACCCGCTACAGGGAAATCCAATTGGGCAATCATGAACTTCACTTTGGCGCGGTTAGTACTCAACCCTGAAGTCTTTTCCAAAACTGCAAGTACCGGGAGAAACTATAGCAGCTACCTNAAATATAAAGTTATTTGAGTTTAATAATAATTAATAAATGATGTTAGAGTTTAATAATAATTAATAAATGATGTTAGAGTTTAATAATTAATAATGTTAAGTCCAGAGACATATTGTTGGTTAGTTCACAAAATTATAAACAAATAATTTTTTTTTTTTTTAAAAATTATCAGATTTATAGAAAGAAAAATAGGTACCTATTTAGGATTTTATAGAAAGTGTAAGCAAAAAGTTGAAAGGCGCGTGCTTGGGAAGTTTGAAATTTGGTAGAAACACAATGACGCGTGACATCACGAAAACACCCGTTATAACTTATAACATGCAGAGGTATATACAAACATATTACTATTCATGTCGCGCACGTAGTGCTTACTTTGATTATGACCTGCACGATTTCCTTTATTATTTATTTACTTAAATGTTTGTTTATTGTTTCAATTAACATTACATTATTAATCATTCTTCTATTACTTCTATTAAGTATATGTATTAAGGGCTTAAGGGCATGAGTGTAATTTTTTCTTTTACTTGTAAAAAGTTTGTAAAGACTTCATTGTATTTTACACGGTGTTAATGTGATGAAAAACAAACACAGAATTTTCCCCTTTCTTCTCTCCAAACACGAATCCAACATGGTATCAGAGCAATGATGCGATTCTTCAATAATCGCAATAATCAGTCCTAATTTCTCTTCTTTTTCATAGCCCTAAAACACATCTTAGCTCCAATTCTTCCAATTCGTTTTCGAAGCAAAATCAAATTGATTTGCATGAATGGAACAACAAGGGCAAACTACAATGTCGGCGTTGAATCAAATCGATTTTCACAATCCACTCTATCTTCATCCGAGTGATACTCCTGGTGCAATGATTGTCTTTCAACAATTAACAGGATTTGAGAATTATTCACATTGGAGCAAAGCAATGATAGTTGCGCTCACAGCCAAGAACAAGATTGGCTTCATCAATGGATCTTGTACCAAATCCACTTTTGATTCATCTCTACACAGTCTTTGGGAGAGAGTAAATGCTATCGTACTATCATGGATCTTTAATTCAGTGTCTAAAGAAATTTTTGGGGGAGTTGTTTATGAGACAAATGGAAGTATTGTTTGGGCAGATCTCAAAGAACGATTCGATAAGGTCAATGGAACGAGGATATATGCTATACACAAAGAAATAGCTTCTGTTAATCAAGGTACGCAAAGTGTTTATGCCTATTATTCGCGTCTAAAGGTTCTTTGGGATGAATATTGGTCCATGGTCAGTTTGCCTAATTGTGCTTGTGAGGGATCGAAGAAGTATCAGGATCGAAGAAGTATCAAGCCCTTCAAGAACAACAAAAGCTTCTTCAGTTCTTAATGGGTCTCAATGAGACTCTCAATGTGTGTCGGAGTACAATATTGATGATGAATCCGTTGACCACAGTAAATCAAGCCTATTCGATAGTCACTCAAGATGAATCACAAAGAGAAATTGTCTCTAGACAATCCAACAATGAAGTTACTACTGCATTAGTTTCTACAAATAATGCAAATAAAGGGGGAAATTACAAGGGCAAAAAGCCTTTGATAATCTGTGAGTATTGCAATAATCCAGGTCACAAGAAGGACAATTGTTGGAACCTTCATGGATATCCGGAAGGACATAAGTTCTACAAACCAAAAGGACAAAGTAGAACCAAAGGGAACAAGACCGCAAATTCAGCTTCCGCAAACATCTTAGCATCCTCCACTAGCAATTCTCAAGGGCAAATTGTAACACCTCCTCTTTAATACTATTCTTAAAATACATACCATGTAAATTATAGATATACATAGCGTATGAAAGATAGTGGGTTCAAATTTTTCTTTACTCATAAAATATAATTCTTTACAAATACAAAATACTATGTGTTAAAAACTTTCTACTGAATACAAAATATCATAACTGGTGGACAGTGGTGCCAATACTCTCTGCTCCTCGACTTCCATCCGACCGCTGCTTCTATTTCCTGCAAAACAGGGAAGAACAATGGGGTGAGCACAACAATGCTCAGTAAGTAAATCCTCTACTACCTGTCCCCGCAACTCACTTTTTGGTTCTTTTCTTACTCTATCGTTCTTCTATTTCTAATTCTCAGTATTTTTCTTTTTCTTTCTAATACTTTTATTCTCCTTTAACTCTGTTCTGCTCTTTTTATTCTTTCTTTCTCTTTCTTCTTATTCTCTTTTCTCCTTCTCTTATTCTTACTCACCATGAAGGAAAATCATGGTTCTCTCTTATTCTTATCATACTCACCATGAAGGAAAATCATGGTTCTCTCTCTTATTCTCGTCATACTCACCATGAAGGAAAATCATGGTGCATGCCTGTATGAGCTGTACATGCAATTAATACAAAAGAACTGCATGTTTTTTTCTTCTACTCTCTATTCTTACTAGCTCAAACTCTCTCATTCTTTCTCATACTCTCTCTTTCTATCTCATTCTTTCTCAAGCTTTCTCATTCTTTAATTCTCTCTATTATCTCATAATTCATTTCTACTAACTCGCTCTTTGAATGTCACGGCCCCATCTTATCGGAGGCATGGCCGAGACTTCTCCCACTCTACGTGACTTCTACTGATTCTCTTTCTCATAACTCTTTTCTGTTAACTTTCTGTTGTAGGTCACGACCTCATCTTACCAGAGGCACGGCTGGGTACTCATCCCAGTCCTCGTAACCCTACTCATTGTCTCTCTTTATTCTTTTTCATGTTTGCTCATTCTTCCTCACTTGCATGTCACAGCCTCATCTTACCGGAGGCCAGCTAGGTGGAGATCACAAAGCACCAATCCACTCTTCGTGACTTCTACTCATTCTCTGCCGATCGGACTCGGTCATGCATGGATTCGGAACCCTTGGCCACGTGAGTGTATTCTCTCTCTCTCTGAATGTCACGGCCCCATCTTACTGGAGGCACGGCTGGGGATCACAAAGCACCCACTCTCGTGACTTTACTCATCACTCACGGGTTTCCCATCGCACAACCTACTCTATTCTCTTCTTTTGCTCTTAGAATAGTTTATTCACAAAGGTCTCTACTCTTTCTCAAGCTAATACTCATAGTGTAGAAATTCTCTACTCTTTCTCAAGCTATTTCTCAATGCATAACCAATGCATATGGATGGCTCATGCTCATTAATGCACTCAAGAAATGCCAACATGCAATGTTGCAAGAATTAAGGTTCTCTACTCACACTCATGCTTCTCTTAGGCATTTCATCAAACAACTCATGTGCATACTAAAACTCTTCTCTAACTACAACTCTACTTCTCTTTTTAACCATCCAAAATGGGAGGAAACTCCCTTCTATGGACATGGTTCCTATCATAAAAGAACACTCCCAAAATATCTACTCAATTTCCTCCAACTTCATCTCAAACTCATCACACATCAACACTTCCCATAAAGGAAATATCCAACAAACATAACATGAATACTCTTCTCAACTCAATTTCTCAACAAGTAGACATATATCTCTACTCAATTTCTCAACAAGCATCCTATATACATGCATAAATAAATCTCTACTCAAGAATTTCTTAAACTTTAGCTTGAGTTGGATTTACTTACCTCATACTTGAGTAGTCTTCACTAAAACTCTCTACTCTTGTTGGACCTTAGCTTTCCCTTATTTCCTAAGCATAAACATAGTAGGAACTTAACCCTTACATAAATAAAACTCATATCTAGAGTAGAGATTCTTACCTCTTCTTGCTTAGGATCAATTCTTTGTCAAATTCCAACTCAAAACTCTCAAAAATCCTTTGGAAGATTGATTGAGGAATTGAGAGAAAATAAGGGATGAAGAGGCGGTGGAAATGGGTGAAATGAAGGGGTTTAGAGAACTAAACCCTTATTAGCTCATATAATATACACTCTTTCCCATTTTGCCCTTACTCTTTCTTGAAAATTCCACCTTTATCCTTTAATTCTTTACAAACTCACCCCCATTTTACACTATTCTCCATGAAATTTCCTTGCATTTTACTCCCCACTTTTCCTGCTAATTAGTGGTAAAATGGTCATTTTGCCCTTAGGAATGAATTCTCTAGAAACCTCAAGAAACTTTTCTGTCGTCCCGTCGCCGCGGCGAAGAAATTTCCGTTGCCCTGACGAAACATTCCAGAACCGACACTACTAACACAGAGCCAACGTCACTGCGGCGAAGCTTCTTCCTCGCCCCGGCGAAGGCTGCAACTCCAAAATCCGCCAAGTCTTGATCAATTCCAGGGTAAACACTCAACCAAACCCAAAACATAAACTCAACCAAGGGCCAACCAAACAACATGAACAATATACAAACTCATTTAGGAGCAATTCAGTAACCCTTTAGGCCATACCATAAACAATGGCTACGTATCTCAAGTGGGGCGTTACACAAATGCAGACACAAGCCCCTGTTCTAACTACAGAGCAATACAATAATCTCCTTAAGTTGCTTGGCAAAGAAAACATACAGCATTCTGCAAATCTAGCAGGTACTTATACTAGTCTTTTAAGTTCATTTAATAATACTAATTAGATTATTGATTCTGGGGCAAGTCATCATATGACATCAAACAAAAATCTTCTTGAATCATGTGTGTCTTTTCCTTCCAATTCTGACTCATTAGTATCTCTTCCAAATGGCAAACAAACTCCTATTACTCACATAGGTTCAGTTTCATTAAATTCTCACTCACGTTTAGATAAAGTATTTTATCTCCCAGATTTCAAGTATAATCTTTTGTCAGTGTCAAAATTCACAACTGAAAACCATTGTAGTGTCACATTTTATCCTCAATTGTGCACTTTTCAGGACCTCTCGAGTGGAGTGTTGAAGGGGATTGCTAAGGTCAAGCATGGTCTTTATCAACTTGAATCTTTTCTTGATGAAATTTGTAATCTTGCACAAATAAGTGATTTTCATACTACTTCAAATGGTTCTGTTTTCGATTCTGATTGTAATGATGTAGATTCATGTAATGCAATTTCTTTTCATATGAATAAAATGTTGACTTGTTCTTCATCACATACTAAGTCCAATCTTTGGCACAAAAGACTCGGTCATATTTCAAATTCAAGAATGAAACTTATTCCACATTTAGCTGATTGTAATATAACTGAATGCATGATTTGTCCTTTGGAAAAACAAACCAGATTGCCTTTCCCACATAGTCATTCAGTTACAAAGTGCATTTTTGAGCTCATTCATGTTGATTCATGGGGTCCATATAAAGAGCCCACTCACAATGGTGCACGATATTTTTTAACTATTGTTGATGATTTTTCTCGTGCCACTTGGGTTTTTTTGATGTCCTACAAATCTGAAGCCTCCACTTTGTTACAAAAATTCATTAAAATAGTTGAACACCAATTTAAAACTCATATTAAAAAGGTTAGATCTGATAATGGCTTGGAATTTCTTAACAATGACACCAAAAATTTCTTTGCATCTTTAGGAATAATCCATGAAACATCGTGTGTGTATACTCCACAACAAATTGGTTTGGTGGAAAGAAAACATAGACACATATTGAATATTGCTAGAGCACTTATGCATCAAGCTTCTATTCCTTCAAAGTTTTGGGGAGAATGTGTTAAAACTGCATCATATCTCATTAATAGAATTCCAACTCCCATTCTCAAAAACAAAACACCCTATGAAATTTTATTTGACACATCTCCTTCAATAGATCATCTTAAGGTTTTTGGATGTCTTGCTTATGCCACTAAGCTCAATAATCATAATAAATTTTCATCTCGGTCAATTGCTTGTGTATTTTTTGGTTATTGTGTTACTCAAAAGGCATACATATTATATGATCTTGAATCTGAAATTTTTTTTGTGTCACAGGATGTCATTTTTTACGAGTCTACATTCCCATTTGCATTATCTTCATCTAACAATCAGTGCCGAATTCCAGAATCGTTTGCTATGGATATTGATACACCACTTTATCTTGTACCTCATACACATGATCATCACCTCATTGATGCACCACTGAATAATACTTCTTCTCCACATACCACACAACCTGCACCACCAAATATTCCACCACCAGTTTCTGAATCATCAACCTCTATATCTAACCATATTGTTCCTGTTCCCACATTAACACCAGCAGTACCATCATTCCCCTCTAGACATTCTACTCGAGTGTCCAAGCCGTCAATTTGGTCCAAGGACTATATATGTCCTACTATCAAGTCAAGCACATCTTCTTGTTCCATTAAATATCCTATATCCAATTATGTTTCTTATGGTAATATTTCTCCAACATATTTGGCTTTTATTTCTTCCTTTTCTTCTTTGGTTGAACCTACTTCATTCTCTAAAGCTTCTAAAGATCCATTGTGGATAGAAGCTATGAAATGTGAGATTCAAGCTTTAAAAAACAATAATACTTGGTCGGTGGTAGATTTGCCTAAGAATCACAAGCCAATTGGGTATAAATGGGTTTATAAGATAAAATATAAGTATGATGGTACTATAGAAAGTATAAGGCTACGTTAGTAGCCAAGGGATTTAATCAAAAGGAGGGGATTGATTTTAAGAGACCTTTTCTCCTGTTGCAAAGATGGTGACAATACAATCTGTTTTGGCCTTAGCTTCAATTAAGGGCTGGTCTTTAAATCAAATGGATGTATATAATGCATTTTTGCAGGGAGATCTCTATGAGGATGTTTACATGAAAATGCCTCCTGGTTTTAATTCTAAAGATGAGGCACATAAGGTTTGCAAGTTACAAAAGTCTTTATATGGCTTGAAACAAGCCTCTTGGCAGTGGAACTTGAAATTTAGTGGTGCTTTGATTGAAGGGGGTTTTCAACAATCCAAATATGACTATTCTCTTTTTATCAAAAAGAATAATGGTCTACTAACAGTTTTGCTTCTATATGTAGATGATATATTGTTGACAGGAGATGACTTGGCTGGCATTGAGCACACAAAGGCTTATATTGCTTCAAAGTTCCATATTAAATATCTTGGCACACTAAAGTATTTTCTAGGCCTTGAGATAGCTTGATCTAATCAAGGAATCTGCCTTAATCAGTGCAAGTATGCTTTGGAATTGATCTCTGAAGCTGGTTTGAGTTCTGCCAAACCATCCAGCATACCTATGGAACAAAACACAAAGTTGACTAGTTTTGCATATGACAACAGTGATCAACAGCAAGTAGATCCACTCCTTGATGAGCCTGATGTATATCAGCGGTTAATAGGTCGTTTGATCTATTTAATGATGACAAGGCCTGATATTAGTTATGTGGTATAGCTCCTTAGTCAGCATATGCACAAACCCAGAAGATCACACCTTGCTGCTGCAATGAAGGTAATCCGATGTATCAAATTGAATCCTGGCTCTGGTTTATTGTTTCCTTCTTCTAGTAAATTAGAGTTAAGGGCCTTTTGTGATAGTGATTGGGCTTCATGCTTAATGAGTAGAAGATCTACAATAGGATTTTGTGTTTTTTGGGGTAATTCTTTGATATCCTGGAAATCTAAAAAGCAGAAGACTGTGTCCAAGTCTTCTACTGAAGCAGAATATCGATCCATGGCAGCATTATCCTGTGAGCTTACATGGATTATTGGTTTATTTAGAGATTTGGGTGTTGATTCATTAACTACTGCCAATATGTATTGCGATAACATTGTTGCTATTCATCTCTCGGCTAATCCTGTGTTCCATGAGCGCACGAAACATATCGAGATTGATTGTCACATTACAAGAGAACGGATCTTAGAAGGTCTCATCCAAATTCATCATCTCTCCACAACTGAGCAGGTTGCTGACTTGCTAACCAAACCTTTTAGTCAAAAACAACATGACTACTTACTTGGCAATTTGGGCATGATTAATTTGTATCATGTACCAACCTGAGGGGGAATATTAAGTATATGTATTAAAGGCTTAAGGGCATGAGTGTAATTTTCTCTTTTACTTGTAAAAAGTCTGTAAAGACTTCATTGTATTTTACACGGTGTTAATGTGATGAATAACAAACACAGAATTTTCCCTTTTCTTCTCTCCAAACACGAATCCAACAACTTCCTTCAAGTAATACACCTAAATCTACCAAATTACAGATCAATCAAAAACACAAAGACACCAATTTACTGTAGTTCACTTGTTCAAGATTGAACAAACTACGTCCACGTTGAGCTCTAAAACACCAAGGCCTGCTACATTAGAGTTATCAAATGTGTTTACAGAGTATAACAATCGTTCATCAAGAATTGCTCACTCACTAGCTAACTAATCACTCAACCCTTCATAATAATCTTACCCAGCTCCTTTAATCCTTGAAGGAATCACAACCCTCAATAAACAATCTCGTCGATTGTACAAAGATTACACAGTTTGAGTACTACCAAGAACCCTAGAGTGAAAGATTAAAGATGAAGAGAAGATAAATATTGCAATATTGAACAGGAACTTTTTGGGCACTTTTATAGTGTTGACTTCAAGGTGATTTGCGGCTGTTAGATGCCTCTTGAATTGATGATCAGGATTTAAAGAGAGGAGTCCAAAACGACAATGCTTTATTTTTCCTTTAGACGACGTCGTTGTGGGCTTCAACAATTAACAATCTCTACTTTGAAGCCTATAATTTCCCTTCAGCAGCTTCTCACTAGTACAACAGGCTTCTCAAGTATTCTTTCTCAGCTCTAATACATCACCTTATGTGTAGCAAGTCCAAGCAATGCTTGAACTTTACGGTAGTCACCACTTTGGTCCCCATATTTGCTAGATTTTCTTCACTTGGTATCTTCATCCGGTTGAGTTGGCCATTTGAGATGAGATCTCTCACGAAGTGAAACCTTACATCCCGTGCTTGGTTCTCTCATGGTATATGGGGTATTTGCTCAAACGGATGACACTTTGATTGTTTGAGTATACAGTCACAAGTCCATCCAGTAGGTTGGCTTCTTTCAAGATTCCTTGAAGCTATATAGCTTATTTGAATGCGTCAGTCATGGCCACGTATTCAGCCTCTGTTGTGGATAGTGTAACTAAGGGTTGTAATTGTGACTTCCAGCTTACACAATTACCCCCAAGAGTGAAACAATAGGCTGTTGTAGACTTTCTCATGTCTCTATTACCTGCAAAGTCAGAATTTACATACCCAACTAGATCAAGTGAGGTGTTTCTTTTACAAAAGTCTAAACCAACATGTATAGTGCTATTAATGTACCTCAGCATCCATTTTAAAGCAATCCAATGTTTCATTCCAGGATTGGACATAAATCTACTTAACAGTGATATGGGAAATGACAAATCAAGCCTAGTGCTAATCATGGCATACATCATTGATCCTATGGCATTAGAGTAAGGGTTGTTTTCCAATTTTAACACTTTAGTTTCAGTTTTGGGACACTACAGCTTGGTAAGAATAAAGTGACTTGCTAAGGGCATGGTAACTAATTTAGAACCAGCCATCCCAAATCTAGAGGACAATTTCTTTAAATAAGGCAATTGGTGAAGTTTCAACTTATTAAGCCTTTTATTTCTATCAATCACCATCCCTAATATTTTCTTTGCACAGCCTAAATCCTTCATGTTAAATTCAGTATTCAATTTTGCTTTTAAGTCATCTATATGAGCCTTAGATTTACTTATTAATAACATATCATCCATATATAACAACAAGTATATAAGCATGTTATTAATGCAAGCAAAATAGAAACAATTGTCATATTTGCTCCTAGTGAAACCAACTCCTACTATGAATGGGTCAAAACATTTATACCATAGCTTAGGGGACTGTTTAAGTCCATAAAGAGACTTATGAAATAAACACACATGTTCAGGTAAACTTTTATCCTTAAAACCAGTAGGTTGACTCATAAAAATCTGTTCTTCTAACTCACCATGCAAAAAGGCAGTCTTAACATCTAATTGCTCTAATTCTAAGCCATGGTGAGCTATAATTGACAACATTATCCTAATGGTTTTGAATTTAACTATAGTCAAGAAGATTTCATTAAAATCAATACCTGCCCTCTGTGTGAAGCCCTTTGCCACAAGCTTGGCTTTGTATCATGGAGGATCTGATATGCTGATGCCTTCCTTTAGCTTAAAGAGTCATTTGCACTCCACCAGCTTATGGTCTTTTGGCTTTGGGACTAGGGACTAGGTCTTGTTTTGCTTTAGGGACTCCATTTTTAACTTCATGGCAGCAAGCCACTTCTTGCTGTCCTTGGAGTTTATTGCCTCTTCATAGGAGTCAGGCTCAGACCTCTGAATGTCTACACTAGCAACTAATGCTGTGTAGATCAAGTCTGCATAGCTGAATCTGGCTGGAGATCTAATCTGCCTCCTAACTCTATCCCTTACTAGCTAGTACTGGTCCAAGTCTCCATGTTGGGCCACCTCCATGTGTTCTATCACATTTCCTTCATTATTTTGGTCATGGTAAGGATGCAATAGTTCATCTACTGGTTCTATGTTCTCGGTTGGGACAGGCAACCTAGTGTGGCTTGTTGGCTCCACCTCAATCTGAGTGGTCTCAACTGGATCAGAATTCAGAGAATTAATTCTAGAGGTACCTACATTTGTGTTAGTAATCCTACAAGGGAACTCCTTCTCATTAAAAATCGCATTTCTATTAAATATAATTCTAACCCTTTGAATATCTTTTTCCCAAAGTCTATACCATTTTGTCCCTTCTTGGTATCCTAGAAATACACACTTAAGGGATCTACGTTCCAGTTTTCCACCACTAGTGTGAGCACATGCAACACACCCAAAGACCCGTAAGTGGCTCAGAGTTGGTCTTCCCCCAGACCATCTTGCTTCAAGGCAATCAAATTCTATTGAGCTAGATGTGCTCCTATTGACCAAGTAGGCTGCTGCTATTAAGGCTTCCCCCCAAAATGTTCTAGGTAGGCCAGCAATGAATAAAAGACATATTTCCTTCTCTAGAAGTGTCCTATTCATCCTCTCAACAACTCCATTTTGATGAGGGGTTCCCCTAATAGTCCTATGCCTCAAAATCTCCTAACTACTACAGTAAGAGTCAAATTCAGAGTTACAAAACTCCAGCCCGTTATTTGTCCTAAGGGCTTTAACCCTCTTATATACTTGGTTTTCAACCAAGGTTTTCCAATCTTTAAACTTGGTTATGGCCTCATCCTTAGTTTTGAGGAGGTACACCCATGCCTTTCTACTATGTCATCCATAATGGATGTGGCCTAACTGTTCCTACCATGTGATTTGACTCTCTTTCAGCATGCATATAATCCAGGCAATTTGCAGCCAGATGAGTTCCTTTTGGGAAACTTATTATGTGATATTTACCCAAGAAATGGGTTTCACAAAAGGTTAGGTAAGAAATAGACTCATTTCAAAAATACCCCTGCTGTTTAAGTACAACCATACCTTTTTGGCCCATATGATCCATTCTCAAGTGTCATTTCTCTACAGCAGACATGTTAGTAGATAAAAGAGCATAATTAAAAACATAAGAGTATTGTTGCCCACACAATATGTACAGACCATGTTTTTTAATCCCTTTAAGCAGTAATTTACCATTCTTTATGTGCATTGTAACTACAGCCAACTTCATCAAGAGTTCCAAGAGAAATCAAGTTTCTTTTAAGTTCTAGTATATATCTTACTTTAGTTAGCAATATTACCTTGCCATTATCAAGTCTTATAGTGATATTACCTATGCCTTGAACCCTAAATGAGTGGTTATTGCCCATGAATACAATTTCTTGTTCATCAATTTTAAGATTTTGAATCTAACACCCATTCCTTGAAACTAGCAGGGTTAGAGACTGTGAGGGCTTCATAAATTTCAATATTACTACTAATGCAAGCTAGGTAAGTCTTAGTGTCAGCCTGTTTCTGTTTCTTTATCCATTCATAGCAGTTCTTTTTTAGGTGACCAAGTTTGTTACAATGGAAGCACTGCCTAGGTTCTCCCTTAGGTCTACCATTTCTCTTTCCCTTTTTTTTGTTCTTTAAGCCTAGGTTGTATTGAGAACCTTTTCCACCCTCCTTACTAAACTGACCTGAATCTATCCTACCCTTAACAAACAAATTGCTTCCTTACGTTTTTGGATCTTTAGTTCAAGATCCCTAGATTTCAATCCAACCACTATCCAGTCAACACTAGGGACTATCCCACTGTACTGTAAGACATTCTTAACTACAAGGTAATGCTTAGGTAATGAATTTAACAAAATCATGGCTAAGTTAGAATCTTTTAGTTCCTAGTCAGTCCCTTTCAGTATTAGTGTCATCTTTAAAAACTCATCTAAGTTTTTATCTAGTGACTTAGTGAGGTCTATTTTATATGAAAACAATGTACCTTTTAAAAAAGCAAGATTAGGAGTAGATTGCATGGCATATAAGGTTTCAAGTTTACCTCAGAGTGTGATTGGAGTTTCCAAGTTGTCCACCTTTCGCAGCACATTGTTTGACATATTCATGATGATGAGGTTGTAAGCTTCCTCATCTACTTCTGATTTCTTCTTTAGCTTTTCCTTGTACCATTTGGTAGCATCTTTCTCCAATGCAATGCCCACTTTGTTGTGTGATAGGAGGGCCTTTATCTTCTTTTTCTAGCTGCTGAAGTCTATCTTCCTATCATACTGGGAGATCTCCATATGCGTCTTACTCATGGTGTTGAGTTCAGTAGCAAACTCAAGAAATCAAGATTGATTTCTGACTTGAACTTTAGAGATCAAAATTGATATATGATTTTCAAGATTTAGTTATAGACTTAATGATTTAGAGACCCTTAGGACTCTAGAAACTGTCAAAACAAAAAACCCCCAAATTTTTGACAAACCCTAGAAATCATGAAATCACTAAATCATGAACGATCTTTGCAATAAATTCCAGCTCTGATACCACTTTTATACTTAGAG